AGCTGTCTTTGGAGCTTTCACCTGTCTTAGAGCGTGAGTTACAGAGATCATAGAATGGTTTGGGTTGGAAGGGACCTTAAAGCTCATCTGGTTCCAACCCCCTTGTCATAAGCAGGGACATCTTCCACCAGACCAGGTTGCTCAGAGCTCCATCCGACCTGGCCTTGAACACTGTCAGAGAGGGGGCAGCCACAGCTTCTCTGGGCAGCCTGGGCCAGTGTTTCACCGCCCTCATGGTGAAGAATTTCTTCCTGATATCTAACCTAAATCTGTCCTCTTTTAGTTTACAGCCATTCCCCCTTGTCCTATCACTAAACTTATGAAGTGGGTTTTTGAGTATGTCTTGATTTAGAGTTTGGGATAAAAAGAAATCAGCCTTTGTGCATGTGCTGTTGCCTCTCTGTCCACTACAAAATATACCCAGAGCAAAAAGAAAATAATAAGAAGAGAGAAGCTCATCTGGCGCAAGGTGTAACGGGAGCTGTGTTGGTTTGTACCAGTTCTGGATCTGTCATAGGACCTTGCTAGAGGGGCTTTACTATTAAATGGGTTGAAATTTGTGAGGATTGTCTTCACTCAAGTTGTCAGCTTGAAACCTAGATAAAAGGATGTGAAGTGACTGAAGTGATTTGCTTTGTGTTTATTTTCCAGTCCTTAAAAAAAAAAAAAAAAAAAGTTGTGGTTCAGGCTATATCCAAGAATAACATATCTCTCTGTTAATCTATCTGTAGCTTAAAAGATGAGATCACATCTGAGAAACTGTTTGGGGTGAAATTGTGGATCACGGCCGGGCCAAAAGAAAAGTTCAGTGCTGCTGAGGTGAGAAGTCAACAATTGTTTGCAAATTAATTATGTTTTAAGATTTGTTTAATGCAAATTAGAAAGAACAGCACAGAAGACTGCGATAGTACTGCTTTATCTGAGTTTACACAAATTGAAATTTAAATGTTTTTTTCATAGGATCAAGTTCATTGCAGGTAGTCAGAACCGTTCACCTTTTCCTCATCTCGGTATAATTTTCTTCAGTCTTGTGTGTAGCTTCTTTCATGTGTGTTTTTTCTGGGTCTTTGTTGCCTTCTAGTTTTCAGTTCTGAAGAAATTCCTGGAGGATGGTGGAGCCATCCTGGTGATGCTAAGAGAAGGCGGAGAGTCCCGATGTGGCACCAATATTAATTTTTTGTTAGAAGAATATGGGATCGTTTTCAATAATGGTAATGGGGCTCACTTATATATTTTATTCATCTGTTTTCAGGAAAATCCAAAGAGCAGGTTCAACCTTTGTAGGTATAAGCCAAGCTGATTCCTCTCACAAAGTACCTTTTGGTCTAAGAGATGTTTTTTCTTGAAATCTACAGTACATGGCAGTGTAGTACTGAAGCACACCAAGGGCTTTCCGTGGACACAGTACCTTGATAACAACTCTGCTATCTCCATTAGCTTGCTGTAAATGTCAGTCTTAATGCTATTTACTAACAAAAGATAATTCCAGTGACATTTCTTGGTTAAAAAGCCTTTCATTTCAAACATTTTTTGGTGTGTTTTGGTGGATTGAATCATTTCATACTCACCAATAAGCAGTGGCACTTTTCTTTAGCAGACCAATAAAATGCTATTCGTTAGGTTTTGTACTGCCAATGTGAAAAAAACCGAAACCAACTGTGTCTCGGTGCACATAAAATATTTTTTGGGTCTTTGGTGGCATTTCTAGACTGTGCCTGATTTTTTACATCAACAGTACTAGATTCATCATGCTATTGGAAGATGTGTAAAGAAAAAAAAGAACTTGTAAAACTTCATATATATTCTTTTAACTGGATCATCCTTTTGCCTACCTTCTGCTCTCTTTGCAGAAGACACAGAGATGTGCTTATTTTGATTTGAACTTGCAAATACATTCCTGTTCTAAATTTGTATGACCAAAAGTAAACAGTAGAGAAGGCTGATCGGAAATTTCTGGGGAGCCACGCGCCAGCTTTGTGGGGTTAGAAGTGAACACCCAGGGAATCCAAGAGCTAAACTCATTTTTCATTGCTATATCTAACACACTGATCAGCTAAGATGCAAATTTATTTGTTTTTTTTGTTTCTTCAAGATGCTGTAGTACGAAATGTATATTACAAGTACCACCATCCAAAAGAAGCACTGATCTCTGATGGAGTTCTGAATAGGTAAATATTTGGGATATATAAATCTTTGCAGTAAACTCTTATAATCCGTATTGGTTTCAGTGAGTTTTGCTTTTTGACATCTTGTAGGGGAATCAGTGAAGCTGCAAGAAAAGCAGTGCTTGAGACAGCAGATGAAGATGGAAGTGGACACGACTCACAGTAAGTGTTTTCCTTTGAGGAAGCTGATGTTGTAAAGATTTAGAATAACTTGGAATTAGCAGGTTTGTAATCTAGCAGGAGTGAATTAGCAGGTTTGTAATCTAGCAGGAGTGTGTTGTGCTTGTGTTCAGGTTTTCTGATGTATTTCTTACGTCAGCTTCTTGTTCCTCAGCGTTACATTTGGAAAGGAGAATCTGTTTAGTAATACTTTATAACTAATGAAGGAGCAGGAGTGATAGGTTTTGAAGGGAATTATTACTCTCCTGACCAGATCTTTTTTGCCCCTAGTCTGTGGATTTGAATTTGACACAACAATGTAAATATTAATAACCTCTAGATATTGGGTTGTGTGGCTGCAGACATGAGCAACACTATAAAGAGTCTTAATGCAGGGAAAGATGGACGTTCATTGCAATTTTTAGCTTTCCACCCCTGTGCTGCTGAGGAGTGAAAAGGCATTGAGAAGAATACAGCTTTTCCATAAATAACTGTAAATGTTTGTACTCTTCCTTGCAGCTAGACTTTAGACTAATAAATCAACCATGTGGTTGATTACAAGGAAAAATCTAAGTGTAAATGTAAGTTCAGATAGTTTTGTTCCAGAATATATATTAATCTGCGAGTTAAATACCCCTACCCTGTTCTCGGGTACAGGAATGTGCAAACAGAAATCAAGAGTGTTCTTTGTTCCTTATTTAAGATAATCTGTCAACCTGGAAAAACCTGTAGAAGGAGGCTAAAATGTCTTTACAATGATCTGGATGTTGGAAAGCACCCCTCTTGGCATTCCACCACCAGTGCACAACTGCAGTTTAGGCAGACAGACTGAGTTTTGTGAATGTGTCCAGCC